CTTTAATAATAGAAGTGAATTTACTTTAATCAAGGAAGATGTAAACACACTAAAAGCGACGATTTTATTTTTTTAATTACATTAAATTACTTGAATTTATTATATTTAATTTCTTCATTTATATATAACTTAACTTTGATAAAATTTTCCTAAAAAAAACAATGTAAAATTGTCAAGAAATAATTACAATTCGCTAAAAGTCAACGACTTTTGGCCGTAAAAAGGCTAAAATAGTAGCTAACAATAGTAGCTAACAGAAAAACTTCAGCTTGAATGCCAACGCTAATCCAATTGCTTTTCCCCTTTTCTTCTTAATCTTTTAGAAAACCCCAAGCCAATGTGAGTCCCATACGGCAACCGGCAGCACAACAACAACAACAACAACAGCAACAGCAACGCCAACGCTGCAATACCGGATCGAAAATCCCGACACTAATTGCGAACCACAGTCCGCAGTCCGGTCCATCGCCGCTCAGCTGCAGTCCGCCCACACAGTCGCCGGTGCCGCATCATATAGAGGGCGGGCACGATACGGCCAACAGCAGTGTCTATCATCCGCAGCCGCATATACCCATCTACCATCAGCAGCTGGCCATTAATCCGGCCGTGGTGGCGGCGCAGCACAGTCACAACAGCGCCCACAACAAGCTGAATCTGTGTGGCTACGATTCGTTTCTGCATGCCACCATTTGTGGCGGCGGCGCCGCCCACTCGCCACCAGCCACGCCCAGCAATGTGGCCACCGTGCAGCCCATACCGAAGAAGAGCAGCAGCAAACAGCAGCAACATCAGCAGCAGCAGCAACAGCAGCAGCAGCAGCAGCGCAGCAGCAAGGATTACAAAAACTATGGCAATCTAATCTATGCTAAGCTCAGCGAGCAGCTGCAGCAAAAGGAGCGCGAGCAGCGACGCCAGCAGCGACATAAACAGCAACAGCAACAGCAGCAGCAACTGCAGCTGCATTCAAAGTCAGCAGCCATAAGAGAAACGACACGTCCCATGGCCACCTCCAGCTCCAGTTCGGCTGGCTCCAAGATCTATGGCGATGCGCTCGAATGTGCCCATTTGCTGGCCAGCGAGGAGGAGGAGCCCGCCAGTCCCATGCTGACGAGCACGCCCAGCAAGGTGGTCTCCACGGACACGCTGATCGACCTGAACGACGAGGTGGGCGAGGCGGTGGCCGAGGCTGTCACGGCCAAGGATCTGGAGGAGCCGTCCGCGCAGCTGGCGGCAGATGTTGATCTGGACACGAGTGCGTCCAGCTCCATGATACATCGCTATGTGCACGAGCACATCCATCATCACTATCATCACTTCAAGGAACAGAACGATATCTAATCCAATGTTGCTTAACTCGCCGCGATTTTTTTTAAATTTCCCTTTTTTTTTCGTTTAATTTTTAATGTAGCGCAATTTGTAATTTATTGATATTATTTGTACGATGAAGTTACATTATATATAACGTATATATAGTATATCTAGTTATAGCTATATAGACAGAAAACTGAATCTGAATTCCGAGTCCTTGAATGTAGAATTCTCTCGCTCTCTCCCTCTATTTCTCTCTAGCTAAAGTTTAAGATATTTGCGCCTTTGCCTTAGCAGCAGCATTTAGTAGCCATCGATTGCTTCGCTTATGCACACACAGCCTAGCAACATATCATTGCTGTACTATAAACAACAACAACAACAATAACAACAAAACAACAACCACAACATATGAATTAAACAAAAGCAAACAAAACACAACTAATTAATTGTTTAGAGCAAATTATTGAAATATGAATATTGAAATGAAAAAAGAAACTACATACATATATTTGTTGTCTATATTATATGAAAGGAAAATGTTTTATTGCGCCCGCTTTTAAGTGTATAGAGTGCTAAAAATTGTCTATAACTATTATCATTATCATTATCATTAACATTATTATGATTATCAATTATTATTAATATTAATTTGTAAAACCAATCAACCAACAAGACACAAGACATCAATGCAATCACAACAACAACAACAACAACAAATTACCATAAATGATAGTTCAATTAATGTTTATCATAATTATAATTAATTTTAATTTCCTTTGATTAATCCGACTTTGTTTCATCCATCAACAAACAACAACAAACAAAAAAGCACAACAACAACAACAACAACAATGCATTTAACTCTTATTTAAATAATAAAAAAAGACTGATTTCCAATTAAACAATACATTAATTAACTGCGTATAAATATATAAATATAAATATATATATAAAAATGTGTATGTTTGCATATATATATATATGTAAAGGCATATTTATATATATGTGCATATATGCATATAGAGAATTTATGAGAAATACTAAATAAATTATTGAATTGCTAAAATTTAAATGCAACAATTGAAGTTTTTATTGAAATGGAATATGGAATACAAGTATATTAGGGTGGCTCAAAATTAAGAGGTAATCAAATCATTTAACACACATTTAACTATTTTATACTCCAGCTATTCACTCTTTAATGAGGAATTATGCTCAACTCCAAGCTGAGTTACTTTAGGTAGATCGATCTGGTAGGGGAAAATATGTATAATACTTATATGCTCTCAGCTGGATCGTAACTCTGTGGGGAATGTTCAACTGCTTTTCTTATTGTTCCGCTCTCTTGGGTTGCCTCTCACCTTGCAATCGAGCATGGCTCAGCCTTAGCCCTCAAGTTGGAGTTGGAGTTCTATGCGATATAAGTGCGTGCTGTACTTAGGAGTTTCTATCACCATTTCAGGTCTCTCTTCGAACATCAAACATGTGTTGGCACATTTGATATATAATGGCCTCTCCGGTGACTATATCCATAGTTTCGGCTAAATTTTTAATAAATTAAATTCCATTTTGTATTATAATTAGAGCTAATCACAGTCAATTTATGGATGCCAGACAGAGTGTTAATAAATGTTTTTTTTTTCTTAAGAACTAAATATAATCAAGTCTAAAGAATTGGGTCGAAATGGAGTAGAATTTCCCAGTTGATAAGTAAATTTTGCAGAAGCTATTTTTTATGGCAATTAAAGAAATATTTTCTAATCAAATTTAAAAGATATTTTCTATAGACAAAAATCACTATTATACATTTGGGGCATATCTTATAGAAATTCAGGAGACATTTTCTACAGACAACAATTTATTTCATTATTTCTGTTCAGTCCGACTTTGAGCAAATGTTTTTTCGTATAATTATCGTACAATTATAATTAGCTTTATGTTGGTGAACATCTTATTCTATGTTTATAGCTTTATTAAAACAACATGTTTTAAATAGCTAATAATACAGTAAAACAAATAGAGCAATTATATTAGAGAAAGAGAGCATAACTGAGAGATAAAGAGCGGAAGAGTCAAAAAGAGAGAGAGGGAAAGAGAGAGAGTGTGTGTGGATATGTATTTCGACACACAAATTGTGTATTGTTCGAGTCGGTCGGGGTCTTAAAATAAATCGTCGTGTGCCAAGTGACAAGAGATGAAGATCAAGATTGAGATCGCGCGGATGCGCCAGAGACACAAAAGAAATTTTTTGTTTGTTTCAGTGAATTTTCAAACGTCGAACGTTACGCAAACAGGCGGAGAGAAGATATCGGTGTTCAGCTAGGGCCAGGATTGGGATCAGGAGATGACAACGCCAACGAAGTGTGCCTACTGCCAGGCACATGCCACACAGCTGTGCGCGGCCTGCCGCAACGTGGTCTACTGCAGCCGGGAGCATCAGAAGGAGCATTGGAAGCGAGGCCACAAATCGGAGTGCAAGTGCTACGAGCTGGCCAGCAATGAGCTGCTGGGCAGGCATCTGCGTGCCACGCGCGACATCAGGATGGGCGAGCTGATCATGCGCGAGGCGCCGCTGGTGCTGGGCCCAAAGGTGGCCTCGATGCCCATCTGCCTGGGCTGCCACAGGAATCTGTTGCCGCCGCAGAAGCCGGCCCGCAACTACTACAAATGCAGCGCCTGCAGCTGGCCGCTGTGCGGGCCGGAGTGCGAGAAGTCCGCATTCCATGTGGACGAATGTCGTTTGATGGCGGCCAGCAAGTTTCAGTCGAAGATCAACTACAATCCGGGGCAGCCGGTGGGCAAGGAGTCGGCGTATTGTGTGATCATGCTGCTGCGCTGCATGCAACTGAAGCAGTCGAAGCCAGCGGCATTCGCCCGCCTGTGCGAGCTCGAGGATCACCTGAAGGAGCGTCTGGAGACGCCGCTGTATCAGGTGCTGCGCGCCAATCTAATCTCCTTCATCAAGACGGTGCTGGGGCTGCGCGAGTGGCCGGACCTGGACATCCTGCGCATCGCTGCCATACTGGACACGAACGCCTTCGAGGTGCGGCAGGCGGGCGATCGCATCAAGGTGCGCGGCCTGTTCCCAGGTGGCGCCATGTTCTCGCACGACTGTGTGCCCAATATGCGGCATCGCTTCGACGACGACATGAACATCGTGTTCCTGGCCAAACGCCCGATTGCCAAGGGCGAAATCCTCAGCATCTCCTACACGCAACAGCTGCGCAGCACCATCCAAAGGCGGCTGCACCTGAAGCAGGTGAAGTGCTTTGAGTGCGCCTGTGCGCGCTGTGCAGATCCCACCGAGCTGGGCACCTATGCAGGCGCACATATGTGTGCCAAGTGTAAAGTGGGAAAGGTAATTCTAACTGGAATTCAGCTATATATTATATTTATTTA